AGAAAAATATATGTTACTTATCACCTGTTGAATGGGTACGGTGGCATAGCTTTCTGTAGAAAAACAGCCTATGGTAGGCGTAAACAAATACTGTATTGCCATGACAAATGGGTTGAGGTTTTTGAAAAGGGCTTGCACTGGACCTTATTCATGAATGGGAAAAAAATGGACAAATTACTCAGATTAAAAGGGTAATCCAAAAGAAAATGACATCAAGGAGCGTAAGACAGCCCAGAAAGCCCATCAGCATCATTACCCCAGCAAACCCAGAGGCAACTCCAAAGCCACCAATACAACTGCTTGAGAAGTCTGCCAAGAAGCCAGATGCAGCTGGTGCTGGAGGAATATCTTCTACAAATTAGCTTCTGAACCCTGTAATTGCCATCAAAAGCAAAGGATCAGGAATACAATGTGCTGGGCTAAATGGCAGCAATCACAAAGCCATACTTTGGTGTCTCTTAAAAAATGCTTTTTAAATGAAGTTTAAAAAAAATGAAGAAAGGCCAAGGAAAGATGAACTTAATTACAAGAAATAGGCTCAGTCACACAGTAGTTAATGAAACGTAGCTGTATAGATTGTTTAAGGCACCCTTTAACTACCTGATTTGAGAGGGGTAGGATAAGCAATTGTACTAGCTCAAGCACTCACATGGCTAATTCCATCCTGTTGAAGTGTCAGAAGTTGCTGGGGATAAAAAGGTGTTTCTCTGCCTGACTGAAAAATTTGGAAAACATGTATGTTTTGTCTTGGTGGATGCTGCAAAGAATAACGCAATTAATTCATTATTTTATGCAAACACATTGTAAAAAGAAAAAAAAAATTGTCACTTTTAAGGAACCAGGTCTTTCACTCGTATCAGCTACTATAGTTCTATAGATTCCAAGTAACCAGCTCAGAATCCTACACAAGATAAAACCACAGAGCAAAAAGTACTTCTGAAAATAAAAAAATAGCCCAAGACCTGGTAACAACAACAGGCTGAATGCCATTCTCAAAAATAAACAGGAATTTCAACTCAGCAGAACGTGGAGAAAGGAATAAAGTAAAACATGGCTCTAGGTGTTGACATGAAAAATATGTAATTGCTTTCGGTTACACACACACAGTTCGAGTTGATGATCTTGGGGTAGCAAAGACAAAAACAAAGCTCAAATTGGATTCCAAATTTTCAAAGTATTAAAAATGAAGTTTTTCCTCACCTGTCAGTCAAGGTTTTCAATAGCAATTACACAATACTGCAGTGCATAAACAGCATTTAAAATACCACAAGGATGTGGAATGCGCATCCTCTTAGTTTAAAAGACTGATCAAAAAAATATGAAACACTTTTTAATTATTTGAGTCTTTAAAAGCCAACTGTTTGTGTATTTGTCTCCAGACATACCAAATTGAGGTTCTCTTTCTGTCCAGTCACCTTCTCTGAGTAACAAAAATGGATTAATTCTCCTCTTCTGTTACCGTGACACGCTTGCTTTGATCTTTCATCCAAATACTGCATTACCACGTAACGTTGATCTTCTAACACTTTTTACCATTCTCAGAGCTGGCCATGCATCAGGGATACCTGTGCAAGTTCTTTTATTTATCACACCTATTCTTCTTCCTGCTCTCATATGCATATGCCAGCTTCCACTCAGCTTTTTTTACAAAATAACTCAATTCTTATTAATTATGTTTTGTTTGCTTCCTCACTCTCCTCGCATTCTTCTGGCTCAATTGTCATCTTTTATTATCATTTGTAAATATTGTGGGTGTATATATTGGTGAGGAGGACACTTTTTTGCCAGTCTGACAGACGCAAGGACATATGGCTGATTTGAGTTTTCTTTCACTCTCCTCCTGCAAACCTACTCATGAGATTTCCCCAGAACAGATACCTATACTGAACCAGGTTAGTAGAGATCTACTTGTTATGTTTGCTTCTGGATTATTTTAACCAATTTTAAGTCATACTCCAAAACACTTCTCATTGAAAGATCAGCAGACTGTTTCTGATGCTTCTGCTCTCTTAGGTCTTATCCCTAAATTCTGCCCCTGACTGCAGAAGTCTTTTTCCTTTGTCTTTTAAGACCTCTTTCAAAACCTCTTTTCTTCCTCAGCATTGTTTCTAATGATTTCACACCCTTGTTTCTGTCCTTGTTTTTATTTGCTGCTTTACGTTGTATAAAAAAAAAAGTTGCCAGAGAAAAATAAGAACGATAGATTTTGAAGAGTATCTTTTTTTTGTAGCTAGTCTTCAAATTAACCTAATGGATATGAACAAAGCTTAAAAATTACTTGAGACTTCTAGTAGCAAGTTTTAGAAGGTATCGGCTGTTCCAAAAGCAAGCTTCTTGCTAATACACATCAGTTGGACATGCCAAAATCCAGTCATCTAGGTACCCATTAATTTAAATGCTCCCCATGATAAATCAGTATATTCCACACATGGAATGAGTAGAGATGGGTTTCCATTATCCTATTCAGGAGCAGAGGAGAAGAATTAGACTAACTTAGTATAACCTCTAGCCCAATTTGGAACACAATTCAAAGCTCTTGGATTGCGTTATGATGCAAGGGGACCATCATGCTGGAGCACATTTCAGTCAAGACTTCCTCCAAAAAGCTCCCTTTGCCAGGGCATGGAGGGGGACTGGCGCCCAGCCAGGGAGGCTGTCTCTGTGCCAAGGAGACATTCCTTCATGAAACAGAACTCCTCAACAGTCCTAGAAAGGCAATTTTAATTTCATTTTGCACCTTTCAATGACACAAAAGGATATTAATGGACTAAGACCTGATCATCTCTTTTTACAAATGATGGGGACTGGTTTCTCCTAACTTTGTTCCAAGTTTCAACTTGCTTTGATGTAAAAGTCATCACAGAAGTAGTGTTTCTTTTAAATTTTCTTTGGAAACACAGTTTTATAGAATTTCACCAAATGGAACATGCATTAAAAAAAACAAATCCCAAACCCACAAAAAAACCCTGGATGGAGATTTTTAAACAATTTTCTCCAGAAATGAAAAATGTGAATGGTGGAAGATAAAATTGCATGCAAAATTTAAGACACTGCATTAACATGCTTTAAAAACACAAAAGGAACCCGATACAGGACTGATTCTTTGCTTTCAAGGCTTACAACAGTAAGCAGGAAAAGGCTACACTGCAAAACAGCTAATAAATGAGGATGTGTTTGTTATTCTATTTTGTATTCTCCTGCTTTGTCTAATGTGATAGGTCTCTAAGCATTAACAAAACCAGGGAGGAGATGGTCATAAACAAGCTGTCAAGCTTAACTAAGCTATTGTTTCTGAATCTTTTAATAAATGTATAAATGCAAACTTGGATCATTTGCAGTAATAAGGTGTGTCATTTAGGCCATATTTTTTTCCATGGTTATCAGCACAGACTGGAACGCTGTTTCTGGCATGGCTGCTTGGTATGGGATAAAGCCACACTCATAGAAGTAGGAAGCACTGTAGATGGTCTGCTTGAAACTTGAAGAGATGGCAGTATGAGGTAAAAACATAAATTTTTAAATCAGCAATTCAACAAGAGAGAAGAATGACAGAACAATCTTTGTACACTGAAACACAAGACAACATGGTGAATCAAGGAAAAAATCATTTGTATTCCACTTGGGAACAAATAGAAAGACAATTAAATAAATAAACAAACAGATGAAGAACAGAGGACAGACTAGAGGTAATATCCCAACAGCTTAAATTCCACTTCAGTTCATGTATATAAAACTTCATATTTACTGGCTCTGGGCAACTTCTTATTCCCTGTCTGGAAGCTCCTATATCTCTTCATTGATTACCCAGAGGAAGTTTGATAAAACTCAGGCAACTCAAATACAGCCCAGGGAGCCTAGGAAAACATTCTGCATAGCAGAAATTTTCAGATTTTTTCCTATGGGAGACCAAATTACATAAGCGAGGTAATTTCAAAGATCATCATCACAACATTCATATGACAACATTACTAATTGCTTAACCGAAAACGCTAATATTGTGAAAGTAATTGATGTGTTTTAAATGCCTATAGAAAAGGAAACCACAATGATAAGTAGTCAGCTCTCTGCAGGTGACCACCAGTATGTCACATAGCACAGATTTTGAGTTTATATTTATAGTATTGAAGAGCTGTACAGACTACCTCATTCCATGAATTAAAAGACTTGTGAAGCTGATTTTCCTAACAATTTTTCTCTCAAAACCCTCCTGATCCTCTGATGTCTAAGAGAGTTCATGCCAGTCTTTTCTTCAAAGTAAATACAGGCTTTCTCCATCTCTGTTCTGTACTGATGCTTATTTTCCCCTAAATTTGTAGAAAGTTAGTACTTTTGAAATCTCTGACATATGTGGTTGAAATTAACTCAAAGACTGAAAAATTTAAGGTGCACAGGCACATATATACAGTTTCTTAAGCACTGTTTCCCTAGGAAAGCATGAGTATACATATTCACAAAGCAAAATCTCAGGGGCTAAGTAAACATTTTCAAAACATGAGACCCAACACATGTACGTTGCTTTTGATTTACACAAATACACTATGTATGCGTTAGAGTTTAATACAAAAACCGTGCATCTCCTCCTTCATGGGTTAAGCAAGGCATTGGCACAGCATGTGCCTTTTGCATACCTTGTGCAAACATGTACGCTAGAAAAACCCAGCAACAAATTAACAACTTCTCAGCATAGTAAATGAATGAATGGGTTCAGCCACATCTATGTAGTTACCATTTAAACAAACAGGAACAAAAATATACATAGCCATAACTTGCAATTGAGAGAGTGGTACACAAATCCTACTGCCATAGTAGTGTACCTTAAACCTTCATTGAAAACGTTTTGGGTTTAATCTGTCCAGATAAGCAAATAATAATTAAGCAAGTCACTTTGTATTAATACAACACCTACCCCTGTCACTGTGCATCAAACTACGATCATCTTAATGGTATTCATTAGTAAACTGTGTGTCAGCTTTGCACTTTGAAACAGATTGTTTCCTTACCAGCCGCCAAGGTTTGCCCCATGCCTGGCTCGCTGGTTACACAACCAATTTGATTGCAGAGAGTAACTGTAAAGTTGTACGTTCTGTAAGGTTTTAATCCTGTCGCTATATAGGATAGCTCATCAGCCTCAGCTATATGCAAAACCTGCAAAGCAAGCAGATTGAAAGATGACAGTTGGTTAATAATATTTGCATTCCTATTAATTCATGACATGTTCACTAGTAAGAAACTTGTCTCTGAATTTGCAGATTCCTTCATTTAGATGTGGAAAGACCAACTGAGGGAGAGGATTATTTTGGAGAATCTGAACAAGCTAGGATTTAGGTGATAATACTTCCCATCACACTGTTTTATGAGTTAATAAGCCAGTTCCTGAGTGGATAAATGAGGAAACAAACTTATTGCCTCATAAAACTGTGTGGTGGTGCAGTTATTACAAACAGTGCAGCTACGATGACGAAGATGACACTATTAATTGGTGAAATCTGACCACCATTGAATGAGTGACACAATTAGCAGACATTAGGAGAGAGGGGCATAACTAATACCTACATACATTTGAATCTGCTTTACTTTAACATTACTTTAAGCTATCAGAGAGAGTGGAACTGAATAGACTGTTGTAATTTAGATAACTTCTTTATGTTTATTTAGATGAAAAAATCTTGCAAACCTGTGACCAGAAGCAATTTACATTTAGATATTGTTACAACGGCCCCAGGAGCAATAGTATCCCCACTTCATAGACAAATAAACTGAGGCCCATCTGTGGTACCATTCAAAGAGAAAATCAGCTCTGAAGCAAGAAATACAACGTCAGAGCACCAGATCCACTCCCATGTTCTGATTACCCACCATGTTTCTTTGCTCATTCCTCAGCTTTTAGCTTACTACTACTGCCATGATCTTTGTTTGCAAACCCCAATCGCTCAAAAGTTACAACAGTATGATTTTAAAAATCACATAATTAGACTTTATAAAGTTAGTTTTCTGTGATTTTCGATTTCCTCACTTCAAAGATTTGTCTATCACCCACGAAGCCAGACAGATACCTTCTTAATGAAAATGCAGATTCCTACAAAGCGTGGCTTTAAGCATATCGGCAAATACAGCGTTAATACAGAATCAAGACAAGCAAAGATCAAGGCAATTTAAATGTTGCTGTTCAATCTCATCCCTCCTAATTTTGAATCTCACCCGCTACTGAAAACAAGTCAGTTCAGGAATACAACTTAAAACCTGGAAGTGTGTAACATTACAGAGCACTCAAACTGATAGGTAAAAAAGTTAGATCAGAGGATATACAGGAAATCAGAGAAATTATTCATCACAGCATCAAGGAGGACATCAGACTTCAATTTATTTTATTACCACCAGTTAGGAAAAACATAATGTAACTAACAACAATACCTGGGCAAATGGTGGCAAGAACCTTTGGTCTGTCATCAAACTGATGCTGTATCCCATCACTTCTCCTCTTGCTAAATTATCTTCAGGTTTTTCCCATGACACATTAAGGGAATATGGTGAAACAGGGAATACTGATGGAGATGGCATGAACACTGGGGCTAAAATGAAATTAATGCAATAATATTAGTAATATAAGTGATCAATGTGTGTAATGCAAGCTTTCTCACTATATTTGTAAAACACTATTTCAGTTTGTATTTTTCTTTTTTAACCTTATTTTCAAGTCTGAGAGGAATTTTCAGATTATTTTGATAGCACATTGAAAGTTCTCCTGTTTTCTACTCTGGCCATGAATGCAGAATAAAACTCTGTCCATGCCTTCAAAGAAATACTAATCAGCACTAAAGTCGTAACCCCTGTAGCAGGTAGGAAAGTACATATAAATGAAAAAGTCTTGAAGAAAAACTTCATGCAACTTGGGAAAAAACTGATAAAAGCAAAAAGTGTTCAATACTTCAGCATCTTAAAAGCAATTTTGTTTGCTAGGCCAGTTTGAAATTAACATGTCTCTCACTTCTTACAAAACAGTTCCCCTGTCTTCCATAGTAAATCTGTAAAAGGATTGTTTGCACTGCAGTTAAATCCCCACCTGATTACTTTGTAATAATAGGATACCAACTCATAGCACTTCTGCTACGTACAAACAACCACACTAATGGACCTCTTCTCAAATACGATTTAACACTTTTATAACATATAGTATTTAAGAACAGATAAGCACAAAGACTCATTTTGGAAGGGGAATTAGCTTAGCCTGCTGTTTCGCAGGAGCAAATGACTGAGGACACGATTTTGAAGCTAACAGCAAACAAAAGCATCAGTGATGTAACAGAGATGTTTAATTGCAAAATATGGGTTCTATCAGCCTAAACCCCCTTATATTTCTAATGAAAACATTGAAATAAATAACTGTTATTTCAAATAATATGTCAAATGGCAAGCCTTTTTAAAATCTGAACAGAAAGCTCGTAATAAGAGGTACGAATTGGTTAAACTTCTGAAAAAAATGGTCCATATTACAACACTTGGCCTCCATAAAAGCATATGAAATGTTTCAAGCACTATACTCTTGAAAAGGTAACCCTCTCAAGTTCTAAAAAACCCATGATTTCTAAACAATCAAAGTCTCAGTTCAGGAAAACTCATTTGAACCTCCTTTCTGAATATATGTACCTTCTTGGATAACGATCCTGATGCACACTAACAATGTTAATACATTGGTGACAAAATCAAACTTTTTTCATGTTTTCTTCCTTTAAAGAACATAGAAATAACACCTGGGAAAATAGCAGAGATGTCAAACACTGCTTGGTAGATTTTGCAATCTTACAGCTTTGAAATTTTGGTTTAATTGAAAGGGATTATTTTTTTCAACTATATGATTTTATGGTGAAGAAAATATTTTTCCTTAACATGTTAAATACTGAGATAATCTGACCTATTTTTAATTAGCTAAAAGCAAAATGAGATTTTGTCTCTATTTGAATCATTACTAGACACATTTTATTGGGAAAAAAAAAAAAAAGAATGTATTCCAATTTAGTTTTTCCTTTGGTTTATATCAAACAAATTCAAACCCATACTTACCAGCCTCTCCTGTTTGTCCTGATATCCAGTCTGAAGATGTGCTACCTGCCATGTTTACTGCTAGCACATAAAATTCATACTCTGTGAATGGCTCCAGATCAGTGACTGTGGTACTGGTCTGCGGTGGAGCCAGGGCATTTTCATTAGGAGACTCCATAACTGGTTGAGGGCTGAGCCATCCACTGCTTTGGAAAATACGACTTTCAGGAGGCAGAAAGTTCCCAGCTGGTTTTACTTTTTTTCTCATGTAAAGTTCATATCTTATAATTATGCCTAGAGAAAAAAGCAAACCAGAAAAATTAGTGCATTTAAACGATTTCTGGAGTTCTACTGAAATACCAGTGCCAGTATATTTAATGAGCTAACAATCAAGCAACATTGTAGAAAATATAGCATAAGAAGTTTTCCTCATTTCTGCTATTTTCATCCAAATACTTGCTTTGGCATGTCTTGCGTTACACTGTGTGTTTTCACCTCCATGCCATTTGGGGATTTGAAAACAAATGGCTGGATTACAGTATGACTTCTACTGCCCTCACTGGAAGACAGTATCCCACAGTTCTGATCAAATGTTACTGGAAATTACTTCAGGCTTCTGATTTTTAAAGGGATATTTAATTTTTTTTTTTTTTTTTTTTTTGAGTGATAGTTTATTGCTAACCTTTTAGAACATACTGCTGGATAGGAGGGGGGGATGTGTGTCAGTTTTCCATCAATGCAAACCTATTATGTAGGCAGGAGGGTCTCACCACTTTGGAGGAAATAAAAACCCGTCAGTATAGTGGTATGAAGTAATACATTATCTAGGTTGGATTGTGGAAGCAGTTTAACTGTAGGAATAGACTGTAAGAAAGCTGGCTGGAGATTTCCCAAATGGAAAAGATAAGAGACACAGCAAAGCCATGAGACAGTTAATTACCATATAATGTATATATTTGGGGCTGTATTCATGCACAGAACCGGAGAGGTTGCTTGGGAGAAAGAACTTCTCTCTTTGTCTTTGGAAAGACCAGGAAATCTGACTAGACAGCAAAAGAAATATGACAGTATTGCTTAAATCTGCTCATGCTGGCAATTACATGCATCTAATGGCTATGGACTAAACTATGGAGAGTATATGCTACAGGTTGAGGGACAAGTGCTAACAGCAAATATCATGACCTGCACTGTAGGAACTGCCCCTCTAAATACATGCAGGCATTCTTGTGTGGGCATTCTTCCTGCCTAATCTGGTAATAGCTGGCAAATGAGATGTTCGAACAGAAAGCCGAGCTCCCCTGTACACAGATGTCCATTATGTGAAGAGATCAAAACGCTTGTTTTCTCATGCACAAATATTTGCGCATGTAAGTGCAAGTTCACAAAACTCCATTACACATATATTAAAAGATAAAGTGTTGACCAATAAAATCTGTGACATCACAAAAGTATCTCACAACAGCTGCGTTCTCAGTTTCAAAAACCTAAAATATTATTACGCAAGTTAGAACAGCAAATCTTGGCAATCGCCTAATCCCTAACAAAGTTATACTGGTAATGGAATTAGTTACTACACATGACGGATGGTTTTAAAAACAGAGTTCTCTGTTAATTCTTAGATTAATTCTTTTTTTCTCCCATAACTGTTATCTGCTTTTTTTTTTTTTTTTGTCAGGCAATATCACCACATCTGTCTGAACTAGGCGATCTGGCAAATTAGGAAAAAATTAATTTTACTGTAAGTGTTTAATTATAAACGTGATTTTTTGCTGCAACAGATGCCATGAAGGGCTTAATCCTGGACCCAACACATTCAGTTGGAGTTCTGGACTCCAAAAGAATAAAACAGGGACTCTGAGGATATGTTTAGTGGCAAATAGGCAAATTAAGACAATGCCTTACTTCATTCTCAGTTTCTCACATGGATGAGGATATTCTAACAAGATTTGAGAAAATGCTGCTTTTTCTTTGCACTCTTTGACTTACAAAAGTAAATACCATGTCTTACCATTTGGTTTCTCAGGTGGTGACCATTCCACAGCCAGTTCTGTAGAGCTGATGGTTTCTATAATTGGTGGGTGTAGCCCTTCTGGAGGAGCTTGTGCAGTAATTACTGTTACTGGCTGGCTCTTTAAGCAGCCTCCACTAGTACAAGCTTGCACAGAAAAAACATACTTTGTAAATGGAATGAGATTCCAAATCATTGCTGAAGTTTTTAATCCTTCATACTGACCACAAGGCTGAAGATCAACCAATCTAGTACATGTCAAAATGTATTTCTCTATGGGCCCAGAGTCATTGGAGAGGTTTGTCCAGTAAAGTAAAACAGAGCGGTGACTAACAGGAAAAACAGGATTTAAGTGCAAGCTCCCTGTAGGCACCCCAGATTTCGTTCTGTATGTCACTGAGGCACTTCTTGTAAAGCCATGAACGTTGCTGGCTTGGACGTAATAGGAATAGAAGGTATACGGAGATAACATGGTATCAGTGAAGGTCTGAACATCTAAAAGAAACAAGTGAGAAGAAAGTTGTATCAGCCCAACACATTAAAAATAATCTTAATTTGCATACTTAGTCTTTCCAGCCCTAATCCAAGATGTAAAATATGTATGTCCATTTGCATGCTCTTCTTGAGACTATTATGAACATTCTAACCTCACAACTTTTTTTTTTTTTCTTTTTTACAGCAGGGAAAACCCCTTCCCCTTTTCCCTTTATTATCTTCCACTGCACATCAGCATCACTGTAGAAATAACTTTTCCACTGAATTTCTCCTAGTTCCTGCTTTAATCATGAACAAGATTAATTCAATTATCTTCTTATTCATCCGTTCTTTGGAAATATTTATTTCAAATGTAAATCAGCATCTATATTACTGGATCTGATTTAGAAAAAAAAAACCAAACCATTCTGTAAGTTTTCACACCTCTGGTTTTGGTTCATGTCATAGTGTAAAACTAAATATTTCACCATTCTGTGCTTTTGCTTCCTCACTTCTAAAATAGTGCTTAGTAGTTCGTTTGTAAAGCATTTGATCTTGGATGAAAAGTGAAACAGAAGTACAAATAATTATTTAAAAAGGTATGTCCAAAGCCTATATTTACCTCCCCCATCCTCTACTTTCCATTACTCTAGATAGCTTTTTAGCAGCCAAGACCATGAATAGCTCCTGGATGTATACTATAAGATGTTACACATCTTAGTCATCAGAGCACAATATGAATTTATGTACAATCATACCACCATACATTGTTTTGCCTTAAGAAATAGCGAACGTTGAGTAACATATTACATGCCAGAGCATGGATACTCTTAAACTTTTTCAAAGCAAATGGAGAGGACACAGCTAAATGCTCTCTGTACGTCTGCACTGGCAAGCCAGCCCTGAGTACAAATTAAAGAGGACGACCACAAAATTATTAGTATCAGTAGATATTCAACCCTTGACATTGTAGTACAAAAGCAGGAGTGTCACCCCAGTAATTGCTTACAGCGCTTCAACTACTTATAGCGATCACAAACTTATCACTGGAGTCCAGCAATAAGGAGGCTGGGTAATCTCATCTTCATGCCTTCCAAATCCTAGTACTTCAGGCAAGGTTGGAGAATAGCTCTGCTAGTGGCAGCAATGGTTATTGCGGCGTCCTTGTGCATTGGTAGTGAGCAGGGAAGTGATGCAGCAGATTTCGGTCTTGACGGCAAGGTTCTGTTTCTTCTTCAGCTTTCAACTTAGCATGCCATTTGCAACTGTGGCTGCAAGTGCTTGAGTGTACTGTAGAGTTGAGCTTTTTCTGAGCTGCTTGAACACACCTGCCCTGGCTGAAGTGCTTCTGGGCACAAGGGTGGGTAGCAAAGCCAATTTGACAATTGTTAAAGACTCTTGCATAGGCTGGCAAGAATCCTCAGAGCAGGAGCATGACGACCAGTTGCTGTGAAGGACACTGGCAAGTAGGAGTTTGCCCTGTATCCAGTTTCCAACTTTGTTTCCAGAGAAAAGAATGGGCACAGAGGCAGCACGAGTCAGCATGCTAGAAACTTGGAAGAGCTGCACTTTATGGGATGATAGGATCAACTATCCTTCAACTCAAGAGCCACATCAGTAAAAAAATGCACGCCAAAAAAACCCAACAAACCAGCAAGACTACCAGCAGTACCAGCAAATACTACAAATTATCATAAGATGACAAAACAGCAGTAACCCATGAACTAGATTTTAAGATCTCCTCCCTCAGAACCCAATCCTGATCTAGATCCATATACTGACCAGGAACCCGCTCCAGAGCCAAATGAGCTAGAACCCGCTCCAGAGGTAACACACTAGTCCTGAACCAAGATCTGCTTCAGAAACAGCAAGCAACCTGGAAACCCAGCCTAGAACCAACAAGCAAGCTGGAAATATTATATACAGCCAACAGGTGGGCTAGAACATTATCTAGACCCACCCAGCTAGTAGAATGTAATCTGGGCCTGGCAGGCAAACTAGAACCTGCTCTGGAACCAAGAAGTGAGCGAGAACCTGCTCCAGAACCAAGAAGTGATCTAGAACATGATCTAGAACTGCCTCCCTACCAAGGTTCATACCTGCTCTAGAAACAACTGCACCAATATCACCCCAGCTCTACAACCAACCAACCCCTGAAACAGACCCGGACTCTAGGGCCACAGGTCTAATGCCAGCAGCGAGCACATTACTTTCCCTTCTTCAAGTACACGGATCAGAGGAGGCAGATCACCCAGAATGCTGAGATTATCTGCAATAGGAATGTTGGCTAGATAAAATTGGATGAAGCCAAAAGGCAGAAGGTTCTACATTCCTCAGATCAACAAGTCCACCATGCATTTAACTACATGTATAAATAATTAGAACCAGCATGATTTGGAGTTAGAATCATAAGTAACTTTGGGGTTTTTTTAACATTTTTAAAGCAAGTATCTGATTTTGTCCTTAAGACAAGGAATGGTATCTCCTGAGCCTCTGGTCTCCCAGAGCAGTTAGGAAAACATTGTTTTAATTGGGCATTCTCCAATGCTATCAGCCAGACCATCAGGCTGATTTAGAAGATTATTCTTAATTTTCCTTGGGAAGTTCACTGTTTCTATAAAACTCTCATTTAGTCATAAGATAATGTTCATCCAGTTTGCACTCTTGGGACATTTCATAAGCATTACAAATTCCACACTATACTAAGAAAAAAGTAACATTATCAAAAGTTCTGAGAGCATTAACAATGTATTCTTGATATTCAAACACCAGGAGATGATTTCACATCATTAATTAGGGGAATTGCCAGGAAATGTCAAAAACATCTTTTGAAACCAAATCTATGTTTTCACAAAATAATGTTTTGTTAACTAGAAACATGCTAATGTCTTGTTATACAGCTAAATACATTCAGAATTTTTCACTCTCTATGAAGTATGTAGGTGCAGACATGAAATAACATCTTCAACCATGCACTCGGTTTGAAGTACATTACAGAGCACAAATTCATGACAACAAAGTATAATAGCTTTTCTTTTGAAATTAATTCATATTGTTATCAAAGTTAGGCTTTTAAACCAAAATAAGGAATTGGAACATTTTCAATTATCTCTCTAAACTTTTTTGTAATGTTTCTTTCCTCTCCATCACTTAATCCCATGCTTGCATGGGGTTGCATAGCTTTCCTCATGGTATGTACTACAAGTGTCCAAATTCACAGCATAAGCCACAGAGTGATCAACTGTAACACAGCAGCATGCACCAGAACATAAAAATATTGGGTGCATTCCAAAGGATCTGTCCTTTCACTGAATAATACTCCTTTTTTATTCTTCCAGGGTACATGCCAATAATTAGACTCAACTTCTGCAAAATATTAATGCTGCATTGGTATGAAATTCAACAAACTAATGAAGCTGCTAGAACAGAAATCGAACTTCAGCAGTATTAAACCACACCTGTCTTAAAAAACCCCAAACACTTGTGTGCCATATATACATAAAACCAGTAGCCAAATCCATCTCTTTTTCTTTGATAAGAGGATCAATAGTAGCACAAAATGGCCTTTCCAGCTAGGACAGAGCATCAAATCCTTGAGGACTGCCTTCTGAGGATCCCTTGGCAAGCCTCAACATGAGAGAAGTGGTGCTGCTAAAGGCAAATCAGGAGCTACACTGATAGCTTAACAGAAGGTGCTAAAAGTTAGAGACCACAAAAAGCTTTCCTAATCTGTTAACAGTTTAAAACCAAGATGATGAAAAAAGCCAGTTTAAGCACATTATGGTCTCTTCCATTCACCTTAATTCTTTCTCTGGGACTTGGCCTCTTTCAGATTGTGGAGCCTGTGTGCACTTGCAGGGAATGCTTTTGATGAGTCAAGGTTTTTCAGATTAAAGAGTAAAAAATTTTGGGTGACTCAGTTTGCTGGATTTTAGACTGGAGTAATTATTTCTTTGAAATACAAGTAGCAACACAGAAGAGTAACTCACTAAAGAAAAACAATAATTTATTCAAAATCACAGAGAATGATAATGATGGAAGCAAGAAATAATTAAGAAAAATTGCACATATATATAGATATGTACACACACACAAACACAAAATCTTTGATGTTATCTTCCTATAAATACTTACTATAAGGGTAGTAGTCTTCAGTTGTATAAATTTCAGCCTCATCTCTATACAGCTGGTAAGTAAGCCTGTTAGAATTTGGAGAGTCGGGGGAGCTCCACAAAAGACTGATAACAGAGGAATTGAGAACTTCTCCTGTAGGAGGTGGTTGCTGGAATGGAGCTAAAACATACACAAAAAACAGAGGATGTAAAAATTAAGGTAATCAATAATCACACAAATTTAAATAAAAATGCAAAGAAACTGGTAAGTTTTCTTCAAAGAAAAACTGTACATTAAACATACAGTCACGTAGGCAAGACATTAGCAGACTAAATTGATCCATCCAAATGCTTTCCAACAAAGCTTTTTATCCAAGTACATGAAACAAATTTATACATTTAAACAAATGACAAATACACTTAACCCCCTCTTTCACCCCCAAATTAAAACAAGTACACAATAGTTATCCAAACACTTTTTTTTTTTTTTTTAAATGTATTTCAAGTCCTCTATAAAACAGGAACATGTTTATCTGGTCACATTATTGAAGTCTCTAGCTCAATTATAATTTATTTTTTCCAGAGGATTCATTCCATTTTAGCATAGGTCAGGCATAACTTCCCTTTAATAGAATAAAAATGGAAAGTACAACTAACTACAAATTTCACTGAAGTGTTACAATAAGCCTACTTAATTAAATGACAAAAAACATAAAGGGGCAAATTTTGAAGGTTATTTAGACAATGCACTTCCATTTATTTTCAATGAAATTTAAATCAATGAGTGCGAGGTGTCTAACATTTTAAGAAATCAGCCTGAGATTCTTATTTACCAAAATACTACTCTGCTATCACCTCCATTAACTTTGGAAAATGTGCTACTTAATTGCACTAGTATCAATAAAGAGAAAAACAAACCTGAAGTTCACAAGCCAAAAGCCTCACATTTTCAGACAGAGCAGTCAAAGTCCCTCCTATGTGTCTTTTGTAATCCAACTGTATGATCATGGTCCTTTCTAAGATACTGGCTATTACTCAGAAATTAAAGTTTATATGGATATTCACATATACATATACATGCATGTGCACATAAACATACAGTTTTACGGTTAGACTTGATGAACTTAAAGGTCTTGTCCAACCTAAATGATTCTACATTTATGTTGTTATTCAAATCAGAGCACGAGTCCATGTCCTGCCGTGAGATCTCCAGCCAGCCAGCTATACTAAGGAACGCACTACTCTGACCCTGAGTGCGCCGTGCATTAATGCAGAACAAGACCGGGCTGTTTTGGCAGTTAGTAATTGCTATAGCTTGAATTAAAAGCAGACTGTGCCATTCCCTACCCTCTTTACCAAGGGAGGGAAAACCAGGTGAGTCTGGATCTAGTGGAAAACATTTTGCTCCAGGAATGAGAATAGCCACGCACAGTGCAGAAATCAGCACATGGACTAAGCTAGAATGAGCTGGATCCAGAACCACCCAATAAGCTTTTCTTGCCTACATTAGGCATTATAGGAAAATATCAACATTAAAAATGTGGATTCTTATTAATTCTTTCTCCTTCTGCTAGTTTATAAACTATCATCGTCTTCATTACGTGGATACTTGTTTAATATACACAGTTCACCAAAAGTTAATTATCAAAATCTGTTCAGCCAAGCTAACAGGAGACAAACAGCAAAGAGTGAAGCTGCAGGCAAAACATGACATGAGAACCTCAAGCCACAGAAGTGATAGATGTAGAGACTTACGCCAATATCAGTGGGTACACATTACATCTGGTTTTTAATACAAATTTAAAATGTGAGCTGAAGTTCTTTATTTAGAGTAAGAAAATGAAAAGCCTGTCTCCTACTGCAGTCTCCCAGCCAAGGAATAGCAGAAAATATTTCTAGAGTTCACTGGATTGAACAGAATACAATCATCATCTCCCGTTAGAAAGCATAGGTTGTTTTGCTGCCAATCTAGAGCTTTTGAGTTCAGCTCAGTAGGAAGTGAATGTACGCTAAAGCGGCTACAGGAGTAAAGTTTGAGAATCAAAGAAACTAAGTGCTCCTAAATCCCTTTGACATTTTTGAAAGCTTCTTTCCATGTAATACATGCTTACAAGACTTGAGTAATCATGCAAATTTACCAACATTACCTTCATTCTCTATGCTGAGCCTCATGCTATTGCATGTTGCTCCATGTTTGCTGTTTTACGTTTTACAACTTATGTTTGCTTCCCTTGGCAAAGACTTCTAAGCAGTAATGATATGGGTCCACAAAATACTGTGTTGCACTGAAAATAACTATAGACATCAAGCTAAGTAAAGCTCCATTTCTGTGCAACAAATTAAAATATTTTGGTATGAATAACCAAAAGACTGCAATTGCTATATCATTTATGTCCAGAAGAGGACTCCGCTTGTCATTTACAATACTGCCTGATGTATTTTTTTCTAACTAAAATCTATGATATTATTTATCTACGTCATATTATTATTAATCAATTTTATAGTTGAATTGCCATTGACCTTTATCCAATGTATATCCCAACATAAATAAGTAGGTTGGTTTATGTTTGTAAAGCACTTTGAAGATGAACAGCATCATAAAAGTGTCATGTATTGTTATTATTATACATTCAGTTGAAACATCCTACATTTTTTAAAGAAACAGCAAACCAATCAACTGTCTGCACAATGAAAAGATGCTATGCATTCCAGAGAAGAGTATGGGAAAACCAAAACAAAACTATATCTAAACACTTCCAAACTCTGAGAAAAAACAAAATCTTTGGAAACAAATCAGTCTCTCTGTTCTATCCCATTTAAAGCACTGTGCATTCTGCAATGCATACTATTTGAACTTTAAACCGATTTACAGTGAAATACAAACTGGAATCAAAGTGAGAGCTACCCGTCCTTGCAAAGGAACTCTTTGCGCACGTACATCTTGCAAACGTATAGTGTGTACATATCACAATGATGAATGTCATATAAATACCTATGCAGAATACACAAAGAAATATTTTGTGGACGGAGGATCTAGAAACATACTGTAGAGATTACCTGGGATTGTCTAACCCTGTCGTTCCATTACACATGGCTACCTGAGCTAAGTCTCACAGTAAGACCACTGTGGCCATTATTAATTAGGCCTGCTGACAGAAATGACCAATTAGCACTGGTTGCGTGACTTTCAAGACTGCGCTGTCAACTGTGTGCAGCACTAAGGTGTGTCACAAAAACATAACACAGCTTTTTCCACAGTTAGCTGAGGTCCTACCCACACAGTTTGGCCTTGCATGGTATGATGTCCTCAAAGGTCATTTCTGAACAATGAACTGAAGGCAACTTAAAAATTTAATTTCCTTATTACATATAATATTTTTCCTCTCCTTTAAAATCCCTGCCAGCTTAAAACCTGTCCAGTCGTGAGCAAATCTGAACATTTAATTTTGTCTACTTATGACACAAATAAAGGTTGAAATTGATTGTGCAATCTCCTCATACTCCAACTCATTGCAAGGGCACAAGTGCAGATATTCTGTTGCAATGTGTTTCATTACAATTCATGATCTGACCGTCAACATAGCATTAGCCTCACTTCACACGTGTCAATTTATGACGCTCTCTTACATGCATCACATATTTTCCCAAACTGACTGAAAAAAAGCCCCAGGAAGACACAGGCAAAGCTACATTGCACTGAGGAACCGATTTTGAATTAATCACCAGGAGCAGGTCTTCAACAGACCTTCTGAAGAAAGGTCTCCTGCCACTTGCTGATGGCAGGAAAGGGGACTAAGCTGTAAGTTGTACAAATACTATTGTATTCATGTGACTAAAAGATGAACTCTGTGTTGGCCACTACAAAGAACATGGTGGGAAGTACAAGTACAACTATGGGCCATTACTTCTACCTTGGGTTAGACTGCAAGCATAAGCCATGCGTATGACACGAAGCATTCCGTACATCTCTCTAGAAAACACTCCTAAGATACTCACACTGCAAATCAGCCAAACTTCAGGGACCAGAAACGTGGGGGGAGAAAAGAGTCAAATCCAGTTTTAGTACTGCTGACCTAATTTAATACCCACTAAATCCATAAAAAACCCATTAATTTGAAAGACATGCTTTTAAGACCTAACATCCACTTACTTTTACTGCAGCCAAATAGGTTGTGGACATCCAAATTACTAGCATCCGGAACACAATTGTCACATTTCAAGCCAGTTACAAATTGTTTACAAACACACTGTCCAGTAACACGATGACAAGTCCCACTAATGGCTCCTGCAGGATGACAATTACAGTGCTGACATCTATAAACAAAAACAAATCAAGGAAGTGATCAAAACACATTAACACTCCAGTTAAGCACAGTAGGGTTTTGTTTAAAAGATTCTCGGGTAATGTAATTTAAAAAAAAAAATCATAAACAGTTCATGTATCCTGATTTTTAAAAAAAAGTAACTTACAAAAAAGGTGTCCATTATAAAAATAAACATTAACATCTCAATGCCAGAATAATACTCTAATTTAGACAAAACCTGCTTAGAATTAAAGAGCTTTTATATATATTGATCCATACACCAACTGAGTAATAATTATGCACTCAGTCCCGCAAGGCTCGCTCATATAACCTTTCTTGCAGAGCTGTAGAGTTCAGTGGTACATGTGTAACTGGTTTCATAGGTGTCCGCACAAAATATGCAACCTTCCAACTTAAGAGGAAACTAGGCTTTTGTTGAAAAAGAAATCAATTAATAATTTCTTGTCTACAAAGGCAACTTGAAGTTGAAAAAACCAACATGCTGCAAATAAAAGAGAATGTAGACAAAAATTGGGAGGAAAAAACCCTCAAATTAAAACAGTGAAAGGAAACAAAAGAGCAAAACCATTAATATTGTAACAGAACACACATTTTCTTTGCTGCCTGATGGACAAAATAACTGAAAGGAATATTTAATTAAATGTGTAAATTAAATTATTTTTAATTAAAAAGAACAAAAAATTTAAAAGTATTAGTATCACACAAATGCCACATTTCAATTCCGTAAATCTCTCTGGCATCAGTAGAGTACTTTCAGGATTAATTTATACTTTGGCTTTTGCATGTGAAGCCTCTCACGATCAACTTGTTTTTCACTTGATATACTATTTCCCCACTGACATTCATTTATAGCAGGGATACCAATGTCAGATTATGCAAATATTCAGAGGCTTGGAACATCTCAAAAGTTAAGCAAAGCAATTTTTTCCTTGCTGCAAATACTGTTATGCTACCCATTGCAATACAGACTGCCAATATTAGTCATAACAGTAAGTCAACAATGGCAAATAAAACTTTGTACGTTAGATTCTAATTTCCCTATATTTTAATTGCTGCAGACTAAGAGTTTTGAAGAACCATGGACCGGGAGAAATGTGGGACTGTACAGAGCAGCTAAAACATACAGGGAAATCTACACTGGGCTCCCCTTGCCCTGAGCTGGCAAAGTCCCATTCTCAGGCATAAGCAACATCAGTCTACAGGGATTCTTAAATTACTCCGGATGCCAGGTCCCAAGATGATGAAGCAGCAAAAAGACCTTGGAGAAGTCCAAAGGAGAGACAGTCGTGCCATGTCCCCTTTGCTCTACTAACCCTAAGACTAGAGTTGTTGATTCATATTTGGTTCATATTTCCTTGGCCAGTTTTACCAGATCTGAGGAAATAGGGGGTAGTGCCTTTACACAAGTTACTTCACCATTTTTCCAGTCGTCACCATCACCTTGGTCTATCTCTTTCTATCTACGTGAAGGCAGAAATAAAAGTGAGTTCTGTTATGTTTTAGGTATTGGGTTTTTAAGGCAAGGGAGAGAGGAGGGGAGGGGGAAACTTTTCACATTAGGACACTAAAATTCAGGTCAATAATCAGTGAAATTGACATTAAATGTGACAGATTTTTAAACAAGTTTCAGAAAACTCTTCACATACATTTTCTGCCCATCACAGAGCTCTCTGTATTAGAGTTCCTTTACTCCACAGCAGCTTGTGCTGTGTGATCTCCTGGGTAATCATTCAACACCCTTAAAAAGGCTGATAAAAGCTAAAGCTGCAAAATAAGCTGCAAATTTGTTTTATGGACTAATATCCTTTTGGGAATAAATAAAATACATTCTCTCTTGGAAGCCACTATACTGTAGTTTGCTCTCTTTTATAGTCAAGAGAAAAGGGCAATTTTTTCAAACTGTATTAAGTCTTTTCATCTGTAGACAGTGCATCCAAATCCCCCTTCAAATAGAGGTTTTGTTTAGACTATTTAAATGTCATGACTGAAAAAAATGGTTTAGTAAGAGAAAAAACAAAGACAGAATTATTTGCTCAGTAAGACAGTACTTTATTATTTCATAATTTCATTACATGATGATATTTAGTACATATTTGGGGGGGGGCGGCTATTAACAAAAGTGTCTCAATAGATAAACAGTAAAAGACAAGCTTCTCTTACTGCTCCTGTGTATTACTGCACCTTTTATGAATAGGGGCCCCCCGAGTATTCCAGTTTTCATTATCATTCACACGAGACAATCAAACTCACACGTAGTGGCACAGTAATAGTTTTCAGTGCCTGGCAGGGTGGGGCTGCTCTTTTCTGCTTGAAATAGTTGCATTTTCTTCTAGGAAAAGTGTAGGTTCCCTACCTCCACCTATATTGAATTAGGGTCCTGATCCTGCAAATAACAGCCTACACCTCGTCATCTTCTGTTCCATGGGATTACATGTTATATTTGTGCATTCACACGCATCATTTTCTTACACTGCAGAACACTAGAACTGGCTTTGTTGTTATGCACAGTTCATGCTTTTCAGTCAGGATTAACGATTCAGTCAATTAAGCATTTTTTTTTAAAAAGGTAACTAATTCTTTGAAACTTTTAATAATGTAAAATATTTTCAGCATTCTTTTTAAAAACTACTTCCTCAGGATACTCTGAGTCAAATATGTTTGACTTTTATTAAAACAGAATTATATATAATCAAGGAAAACAGACTTTTGAAACATGGAAAGAGAAATGTCAGGCCAAGATGAATTGCAATATTGATTTTGTGAGGATAAATGGTTTTTGTAATATTAATATAGAGAAACCTTTATTACATTGACTCTCTAGGTGCAGTTAGAGCCTCTCCAGCAATCTGTTTAAAATCTTCATTTTTCATCCTTATGGGAAAACCTCACTTGCTAAATGGATTTCATAAACAGTAATCTGTCAAGATATATATATATAGATAAACAATTTGTGATGTTCATTGACCAGTTCATTATAGTAAACAATACAGAGGTAAAGCATTTCAAATGTGTACCAATGCCCACAACCATTACAAATCTGTTCAGACCACTCCAAACATCCAATATCTCTAATTCTTTAATTGCTGAGGGAATTTTCCCGCTTCATAAGCTGAAAAGCATTAAAAAATGTGGAGTTCCTGTTTTATCTCAAAAACATCGCAAAACAAATCAGCTTACATATACATTCCTCTGAGAGCGGGAGAATTTTATAGCCTCAAATTCTCTGTGTGTCACAACCTTTGCTGCTTTTCTGCTATTATGCCAAGACAGACATGTCTTTGCCGCTACAGATAGCTCATATCCTTTTTGTTCTGTAACCACAGAGTCCTTATAAGGCACTTGGAGCAAGGACGGTTTAAATGACTTTGCAACTTTACAAAGCAAGAAAAAGCACGTTACTCTTTTTAGGAAGGTGTTAACAGTTAAAGAAATGGATTAAAATAGAATAACAAATAAAGAGCCGGATTATCATTTTCAGTGGATCAACGTTTCCATCTGAGGAGCGGAGGTACCTTGCCCAAGTAGATGCTAACCAAAGGAACCCAAGCATGTGCAACACAAGTTAATCATGTTAATGTACTACTGGAGCAGTCTTCAATACTGTCATGAGGATTAAGTAGTATTAAGGCACTAAAGCCAACTCTGATTCAAATTCCAGAACTGTAAAAACTTTCTATCTTTGCAACAAAATCTGGATCTAGATAGTTCTAGATATTTTCTACATATTTCCACATTTTGAATCTCTGAAGATAGCTCAAAATGCAGGTAATTCAAGGCCAATATCTAGTTCAGGAAAGCTATTGCTTAACACAGTCACAAACCTCTCCATCACCTGCTAAAACTGAGGGGGGGGGGAAATCTATTCCAAGTAACTAAAAAAAAAAAGTAATTAATAATAAGGAAAAGATATTTAAAAGGGAACTTCAGTATTACAGAGATTTTATTCCTTATGATTAGAAGTGACAGGAAGTGAAAATAGGAAGTCCTTATTCCTACAGATTACTTTATGGCCATTAGCAGATGTCTCTGTGACCCACAAGAATAAAAAATAATTTTAGAAATCTCCTAATGAGTGACAGTAACATAAAAGTTAAAGTAAAAAATCTGCAGAATAATGTCAAATATATGCAAGACGACACTGGTAATTCAATGCCTAAAAGCATATTTACCCCACACTAGCTGGGGGAAAGGAGCATGGGGAGGGCAACGTTGTACAGATTTTTCTTCTGCCTGTGGTTTGTTGTTTTTTTAAAAGCAAAACCACTAAATACAACAAAACAATTTAACACCATCAGTCTGCATGAAAATATGATAGCATTAGAGCTGTGCAATCTTTCTGGACAATATTTAAAAGGAAATTGAGATTGTGGGGATTAAGCAAGAAGATGCTGGAAAAGAAAGATAGAGCAATAGTTGGAATAACAATGCACTGCCTATAGATATATTTTCCCCCTTACATTCCAAGAAATATAACCATATAATTTCAGCATACCTAGAGGCTCCAGGCTACATTAGATAAACAATTTACCCTGTGGCACATAACTAAGTACTGAAAAAGAATACACTGCTTCAGAAAAACAGATTTTTAAGAGGAAAGGTGCTATATTTCTACTGCTGCTGTTAAAAGAAATTTGGAAAGACAGAGATATCTAAATTTTTACTACTACTTTTTTTTTTTCCTCCCCATCCCATTAAAATGTCTTCCTGAAATCTTCAAAAGCATTCAGAGGTTATAAGAATGGCACATTACCTGCATTTTAATAGTCAATGATTAGCACCTCAGAAACCAACACATCTTACTGAAGATGCAGAGAAAATAGAGAGAACCAATTACCAAATAGCTATAACATTAGATAGCATTAGCTTTATATAGTTTTCATGTTGTTTCTACCTAAGTCTGTGGCAAAACTATTTTCTTCAGCTCACGGAAGCACAGATGGTTGCATGACGTACCACACGTAAATCAGAGTGCACACATGAATTCAAAGGATTAATGTAACAAGAGCACATCTTTCCATTGTCACTGAAACCTTTTACTATGAGAAAAATGTAATGAGGACGTTATAAGTGACCTGTAAAAAAGGAACACTCACCTCCCTGTGACAGAATCAAATCCAAAATGAAGTTCTTTGCAACGTTCACATGTCTGTCCTGTTACAGAGGCATCTTGGCAAATACATTGGCCAGTTAGTCTATCACAGATCTGATTCACTGAGCCAGCTATGTGGCACAGGCACGGCAGACAGCCAGTGACACTGGATGGAGAAAAATAAAAACCTAGAAAAGAAAGGGATTTTGAGAATAGACAACATGCAAAAAGTGAACATAGTAAGATTATTATTAACCTGTGTATAATCCAGGATGAAACAACAGAACTAAAGCTTAGGAAACACACACATCAACTCAAAGCAATATAGTCCTCCTGCAGAGCTGAGCTTCTAAATCTTCTCATTGGCACTTTGTAAGGCTATTATTCATCCTCCAGTTGCCAACTCTGACTTTTTTATTCTCTCTCTTCAGAGTTTATTTTAGAAAGAACAAATGCAAAATAGGGGGAGTACGTTTTTTTTTTGGAAAGTAAAGACCTAAGGACACAAGAGGTACTAATGAGTGTGCCACATGCAGTATGAACATGAAAAATAACATGCAAGAACAGACATTTGTCCTTTCTTGTCTGGGAGCTCATCTCTGACAATGGCCAGTTGCAAAACACAAGAAACGCATGTATTTTCCTAAGAAAGTCTTTTAATGTTTCTCAACCAGTGGTTGGCTTAATCCTTGAAACATGAGGCAGTTTCTTAGACAAACTTACATTTGATGAGCATTTCAGGGTCTGTGAAAATTTATTTTACTCCTCCTCAACATATAGCTTCTATCCTACACAAATATTTTTACAGAAATTAATAAACTGATGAAAAAAGTTACTTATCTGCTACTTAAAGACTTTCATTCTGAACCCCATCCTTCTGTTCCTGTATTTTTTCCAATTATGAACTGAACCATCCACTTCACCTTCCCCACAGTATCTTTGGTATGCTTCTGCTATACTATCTTCCATCCTGTTGGCCTCACAAGCAATCTTTATCTATGCAAGTCTCTAACCCATTACTGATAAATACAGCTAGATAGAGTGTGTACACCTCTAATCTGGTCGTTGAAGAACTAACCCATTATTCACAGCCTTGCCTGAAATTCCAAAAAGCTTTTAAGCACATTTTTTTAACGATCCTGTACCACTTGCATAATCTGTTTTGCTATCTATGAACTTCTTCCTTTCTTACTAATTTCTTTTCTGTATGCTTGATCAGAAAACAATTGAATTAATGGAATACCAGTAAGAAATATAATTGCATAATTTGCCAAAATTATTTTCTATGTTTACCTGATTATTAACAGATGTTTCACCAGGGTTCTCACACAAATTGTTCTGCCCCCTTTTTTTTTTTTTGTTTTGAGATGGCACAGTTGATTAAAAATGTAGCAACAAGTATGAGTTTTGCAAATGATGATGGTGACAGCATTAACTGGCACTTGTCAGCTGCAAATACCTGTTTTTTGAATATCAATCCTAAGATAGGGCCATTGATAGGAGTTTCTATCTCTGTCAGCTGGTTATAATTAATTACTATTGCACAACTTCAATAGAAAAATTTGAACTGTTAGTCAGATATGCAGTATTTGCACAGACTTCTCAGACACCTTCCCTCTCTCTCCAGTTCAATCAGTTTCTTCTTAGTCATGTTCTCAATGTACCCAATCTTTTTTGCTGTCCGACAACTTTCTGATGTCCTGCTTTATTATAAAGAGTCCCAAATTGTATTGTAACATGTCATATCGCCCAAGGCCTTATTATTTATTTTGCCTTAGAAGAGATAGCTTTATATATACACCCCTAGGGTGGTATTCTCTGTCTTCGCAGCAGTGTTGCGCTGTGAGCTCATACCCAAATAGCAGAGGAACTAAACAAATTGAAAACATTAGAATTTTACTGCTCAAATCTTTGTTCAAGTTTAGCCTCTGGTCCTCAGTGAGATAAATCTCAAGTGGACAGTGAAGTGATATCAGTCTCCAGTTAACATACATTCGCATCATAAAAAACTATGCTGTTGGCACTTTATCCCAGAGAGGCCCCGAACTGAGCCACCACAGAGACTGAATAGCTTCAAGTTATTAGTGAGGCAGCATGTATTATCTCATACTGCAGTTGTCTGCGCAGTACAGTGCCCATCCTGTGCATAAATAGAGGAGACCATTTCCCAGCAATGTCACTCTTGAGCACAATGAACGACTCCACTCAAAGAACGTAACAGGAAGATGGGAAACAACTTTAAGCCTGGACTCCTGCAGAAGGTCAAAGCACTTCTTCAGAACCCAGTTTATCGTCGCAGTGAGTGATAAGCACTCAGGCTAGAACAGATCCTTGTTTGCCTGCAATTTTGCATGAAACTAATGTCTAGAAAAGACTATAGTGGGTAAATAAGCACATCTCTAGAAATTCATTTTAGCTGAGCAGGATTGATCACTACAGCATATATTGCTTTTGTCATAGCAGTGAAATTCGTCGTTGTAAAGAATCTATACCTTAATGTTAAACATCCTGGCTCTCCTAATGTCATACCGCCTAAACCACTGTAGAACAGCAAAGGATTTGGTATGATTTCTTTTTTATAATAATCTTTTAGAAATGCTCTAAAAGTTTAACTAAGTTTCTGGATACTACCACAATTATTATTTTTTTCAGAAATAGCAAGTAAAATTTTTTTTAAAAGTAAAAGTGAGGGATAGGAAAATGGAAGAAAGTCCTTCCCCCTGCTAATTTATAAGTAAATTAACATGATTAAATTGTAGACAAAAAGAGAAGAGACACTGGATTACAAATTTATACTGTTTGTCATAACAGTTATTATTATTTACTTCCACCACCTAGAATTTGGCAGGAAAGAGTAAGCAACAACTTAATGCAAGCTTAATTTACAGCAAGGTTAGAAGGGCTCATAAAAGTTGCTTTATGAATGATCCACTGTTGTATAATAGAGCCAATTTTCAATTTTAAGACAGCCACTGCAAATCTCTACAAGATCTACATATATAACTAGTATTATGCTTATTCTTTTTCAGATTTTTTTTCAATTCAGCCATAACTGATCACATTTGCCAATCAAACATACTCTTCAAAAGGAAGAATGAAAGTCATCGCAAAGTATTCAAATTCCCTTTTTTTAATCTTACTATTTCTCCCACTGTATAGCTCATGGAAAAGAAACACCTGAACAATTCCTTAGCACTTTCACGTGCTTACCAACTGTAGCAGTAATGTTTATTTCTTATTCATAGTCTGTGCTTCAAAATTCACAGTTAACAACACTGACAATGTTGTCACAACATACTTCACATTTTTCTGGCCAGGAAGAGAGGTAGTACGTACACAAAAACTCAGTATTGGTGCCCGGCCACATATCCTACACTGCTGGTTTGCATCTTTTCTGTACTATGTACTGTTCCATGGAAAGCTGTAGTCACCGAGTAAAGAACTTACAAAATGCCTTTTTTTTTTTTTTTTTTTTTTTTTTTTCCCCAGCAGTACATGGCACAAATCCCAGTCAGTGTGGCACCACAGTCCTGGAATGAGGCAGGGACAAACTGTTCACAACTATTTGGGGGCTGGAAAGATGCATTTTCTATCACTGCACCCTAGGACATCCCAAAAGCAACTACATATACAAGGTAAAACTGCTCCTTAATTTGGTTTCATGTTAGAATCAAGTATTCCTCACTTTGCATACACCATTAGTTTTAAAAAAAAATGAAATGCACAGATATCTACCAAAAATGTTACTTGTATGAGAACAAACTGGAAGACAGCAAGTCATAGATACAGCCTAATAGATGAAATACATGGCTGAATGCTCTAGAAGGAGATTTTTTTTTTTAATTATTTTTTTATTTTTTTAAATTTAATTTCCTTAAGTTACATCGAGTTTGAATTTTTCTCCACTGGCAACTCTTCCTGCATTAAGATTTTCATAATTTTTTGAAACCTTTCAAATTTTACAAAAGCACACAGATGTGCTACAATAGGATGTTTTTTTAAATACCACTAACTATAACAGACTTATAATGACACAGAATTTAAAAAAAAGAGACATAGGACCTGTATCCCACTAAGGAAACTTGGACCACAGAGTTGAAATGTCCCAACAGCCTAAGAAGTCCTCAGTATGTTTTTAGGGCTGTCAGTTTTAACTCATGAATTGTGTGCTTTTAATTAGGCTGTGTTGGCTACATATATACTTGGAGTAGATTTTCTTATCTTTGTCCCAACACAAAGCCATAGGACATGCTTAGAGTACTTGAAACCAATTAAACTCTTCCATACTTCTACAACTTAATACCAGCATTACTAGCAGGTTGTACTCACCTTTGTTTTACAGAAAACTCTCCCCTTTGGAACATACTAACAAAGAATATTTATATAAATTTTGATCTATTAAACGTCTAAATGAGCTCATACTGGGATCAACATTAAAATGTCAGTGAAAATGCCTTAGTATGCTGTGCTACACTAGGAGCAATACAATGCTTTTACAAGGATAAGGACTTACACTTTCACCTGCAGAAGAGAGCTCAGTGTTCAGCACATACATGCTTACACTTACTACTGAGAAAATTTAAAAATCATTCTTACAGCAAGATTTTATTTTTTTTAAACAGGAACTACTGTGGAAGTATTCCTTTGAGTGCCATGGAAGCTTTTCTACAAACCAGTCTGTTCATACTATCAATTAAACCTTTTTAAACCATTTAGTTCTGCATAAACCCTGGCCTTTCTTTTTCAAGGACAAGGGCGGTCACTGACTCGGGAAGCCTTGACATCACTCCTCTGCCGATTTCTGATTAAGTGGCTGCTGTAGAGGGTTAGCAGGTCAAATAGCACTGGAGGAGGAACTAAGAAAAACAGAATGCTGCCTTATTTATTAGTATATGTACCTAAAATAATTTAAATGAAAGTATTTTTAAAAATACTTAATGGAGGTTAAGCAGCTTTTTTAACCTCTGTTCAAATTATTGAATGGCATATTAAAACCAATGGAGCTATAATGTACCTTTTAATGTGACCTGCTACTTTAATAAATTGCATATGTATTTAACTTGAACTAAATCTATCTGTTTAATATTATTACTAAAGATAGGTTAATATTACCTATAGTTTCACTTTACCCACCTATTTTTTGAAACAAAAACATTAAAATGTAACTACAGAGTTTCCCACTTATAATGAACATTTAAACTCTGTTTACAGTAATATGGTACAAAATCTCGAATGGATACAGAGCCACTGCAGTATCACCTACTTGTAGGACTGAACCGTAAGCAGTTTTGTGAAAGCCAGCACATCCTCAGCACAGCAAGGCAGGTAAATGCGTTTTAAGTGGCACATTTGCCAGCTCCATCAAAGTTAAAGCAACTGTCTCTGTACCTCCTGCCATGCACAACCTCTGGCAACAGAATAAATATTTGATAGTGATCAGGACGTTAATACTTCCTTCTCACTCACACAGAAAGAAATGGAAAAACAGTTAATAACTTAAGTCAAAGACATGTCAGGCATGAAGCTGTCTAAATACATATTAAAAACTATAGGAACTACGACGACATTCAACAAAGTAAAACTTACTGTATCAAGAGATCGTCTTCTGATTTCCTTACCTGGTTTACACTCATCACACCTCCTCCCCTGACGCTGAGGCAAACAGACACACTGTCCAGAAACGTGGTCACAAACTGTTCCGGCCAGCGTGCCCAGAGCATCGCAGTCACAAGGCTGGCAGCCGAGGAGGTTGCTCACGCTAAGGTTGTACGTATGAAGCATGCACTGGTTGCACTGAAGGCCAGTTACACCAGCTTTGCAAGGACACCGTCCCGTTGATTTGTCACAAAGCAGAGAGCCATTCACTGTACCTGCCCTATCGCAGTTACATGGCAGACAAACAAAGGAACGGTTTTCCTGGGCTTTGTGGTAGCCATCTAGGCATTCGTCACATTGTCTTCCTCCAACATTTGGTTTACACGCACATTGCCCTGTCTTCTCATTGCACACAGTTCCAGAAAACGACCCTGCAACATTACATTCACAAGCCTTACAACCAGTTACATCCAGCCCATAAAAGTTGTCGATGCAGGTGTCACACCGAAGCCCTTTCACTCGTTCTTTACAATTGCACTGCCCGGAGAGAGGGTTGCAGAATTGGTTTACTGAGCCGTGGCTGTTGCACCAACAAGGCTCACATCCATCTTCATTAGAATATCTGAGAGCTTTAAATCCAAAATTGCAACTATCACACCTAAGACCTGGAAAGAGAAAAGGTATTAATAAAAAAAAAGCTGAAAAGCTATTAATTAAATTTTTAAAAAGGGTAAGTATACTACACTTGGAAAAAAAAAAAAAAAAGAGAAGGGAAAAGAAAGGACTAACACTCTTCACCAGCATAATTAACAGGAGTGACTGGGCTGCACAAATCAGTTGAATAACAGTGACATTCCAAAAATTTGTTTACTTTTCCTATTTGTTTCAGAAGCGATGCATTTCTGCTGGCTTCTCAATACAATTTAAGATACTTCTGCAAGAGATTCTTTGTAACTTCTAAGACAAACCAGAATTAATCTCTTTGTCCCCCAGAACAGCACCTGTTGCACAATCAATGCTTATGTGAACTCTTCACCCTATATTGTAGAAATGCAATATACAGGGAATTGCACTGGGCTCTCAATCTGTTCTGATAACAGATTCATGTATTATATTAAAAACATTAAATATACTGTAGGACAAAACAAGTTAGACTAATTACAATGAATGATTTACTTTACACTGTACTTCAGTTACATTTATGTTAGTGTTTATTGTTAGCCCTTAAAGAAAATGTTTTCCATAATCCAAAATGAAATATTTTTATCTAAATGTATGATTTAGTTAACTCCTGCAGTACATTAAAATCTAAACTGTTTTCTTCATACTTCATCCTGCAGTTTTATTAGCTTTGTTTTCAAAGTCATCGCCTGCTTTATCCCTGCCCCAAGGGATGGCATTTGTATTTTGGTTTATAAAAATGTACATTACAAGAAAGCCAACTAGATTATTATATGAAAAATGCAAATTCACAGTTATGCATTTTTCCCTTGCAACTGGAAAATCCCTCACTATGAAGCCGTCACTTAATTGTTGCATACGGAAAAATATAAATGCAATATTCTAGCAAAATATTGTCATCATTTAAAAAAATAGAAAACCATACACAAATACATCTAGCAACTTACATGTAGAAAAATAAAACTAAAAATGGTAGGAAATGCATTATACATATGGTAAAAAACTCAAAAACTCCAACAGAAGGCAAGTTCCTTTAACAGTGATGAATGACTCACCTAAGGCATATCATTTAATTTCAATAAGGAAAATAAAAAAGGACCACTATTGCTGCAAATTTTAAAAATAACTGTATTGTTAACAAGAATTATGACTCATTTTGAACTATTAAAATTGGTCTACATGGATTCATATCATATCAGTTTTAAAAATATGCGCAGTGCTTATTTGAATATGCCATACATATTCCTGACAGGTAATCTATTCCTAACGATACTGAGGAAGGCCTACAGGGCATCACATTCAATGTTAACAAGTACAGGGGAGTTAGCACGCTTGGCATTTAATTCACATTCTTCTACCTTTTTATTCTAGATGAATGACCTACTTTAATAAAATTATTGGTGCTAATGTATTTTACTGGTGATAGAATCATTAGTAAGATTTAACAGTTGTGTTAACTCTAACAGTTCATGTTTCATAACACCGCAGTCCATAGTTGCATTTTTCTGTTATCGTGTTTGTTTAAATAGATAAAACGGCAATAGACAGATTGCTCTAAAAACCAATTTAGAAATCCAAAGAGGAAAGCTCTTTGTTAAAGTTTGCTGCACACGTTCCAATATACAGAAGCTTATTTACCATTGGTTTGCAAAACAAAAAAAAAAAAAAAAAAAAAAAAAAAAAGAGAAGCCTGTCTGGAAAGAATTAGGTCTTTATCCTGCAAACAAAAACTTGCATAACTACAGCCCCCCACCACGGTTACAGATAAATTTACAGAAAGCACAGATTTACACATTTTTGTATTACTGTTTCAGCAGAAATAAAAATAATTCTTATTGTTTTCATCAAAGGGAGGAAATATTAAAAAAAAAAATAAGTAAACAATGAAATACATGAGAACCAGACTGTGCATTTCTGGTATACCAAACTTCCACTGAGTTAAGAAAGGTTTTCACAGATACAAATGCAAAATGTAGACAAAGAATATATAATGTATATAATTAAGAATGTTTTGAACTCCTTTTTATCAAGCGTAGAGAGGGAGTTTAAGATGCACAGAGGTGGGGGTTTTTTTTGTACTGGTAGCACTCTTTTTATCGTATGGAAAACACAGGTACTTGGCATTCCACAAGAAAGAGAACAGAAACTATTCAGGCTTATGTCTGTTTAGAGTTATTTTCATTATTTGTTATTTTGTATTTGGTTTTGGAAATTAGAAGAAAGAAGAAACAAAGACTTATTACAATATTACAAATATGTCAATATTCAGAAGTCAGTGAGTTATTAATTAACATATACTTGAACATTGTTAATATAATCCACAACCATGGTTAGCTAAAGAAAAAATATATTCCTAATTGTGTTAATAACAAAACAGAAAATGATTTTTTTTTTTTTTTTTGAGACATACGTATAGTCTGAGACATGTACAGTTACCATGCAAGGCTCACTTTATCAGGAAATTCTCCTTGCATAATTTTCCCATACATCAACATTTCAAAGTGTATTATATATACTGTGTATTTTGGGCACTTGATAAATTTTGTCCTTATGTGGCTGTGGCTCCCCTCAAATATGCTGGAAGTAATAAATTGCTATAATCAAATCTAATTTCTGAAAAATACCTGTGGGAGTAACAAACAAAAAAGCAAGTCTTGTAAAAAAAATGATAAATAACACAGAAGGTAGCAGTTTATTATAATCAGCTTGGCATTGAATTACAAAATTAAAATTATGTGGCCCTTGATAACTAACCCTAGCTATGTACATGATCTATGGAATTATGTTGCCTTATTTTGCATTTCATAGGAACAGTTCAAAGAAATATAATAGAAAAAAATTGATAGATTTATCACAAAGGACCCTGTAGCACAGAATATTTTGAGAAAAAAAATCCATTTATTTTGGTCTATTAAGAAAACTAGCATAGAAACTATTTGCTTAGAACTCATTAAGTATAAAACATTTTGAAAAAGTGTTAATTTCCTAAAAGAAACATCTATGCAGTAAGCAAATTACATTATTTCTGTGACTTATTAGCATGGAGCTATGTAAGCTAATGTAGCTATGCCGTAAAAAAACTTCTAAAGGGTTGATTAAACTAAGCTTCAAGCTGTAGTTTGATAGAATTATTAAATTAATAATTTCTCAACAGTTAATTTCATTCATTTTTATAATCTGCCTTCAGCAAAGAAGTTGACTATACCTTTCATTTAGAAATCAAGTGTGTTTTATTTCTAGAGATAACAAGAAAAATGGCTCCAAACTCTTGCATTGCACATACCAATAACATTTGCTTTGCACTTGCACTGGCCTGAATTTTGGTGACAGGTAATATCTCCATTGACTGTCCCAGAGGTATTACAGTTACAGGGACTGCAGCCATCAGGGTTTGACTGTTGTAGATTGTAGAATCCTTCCTGGCACTGATTGCATTGTCTGCCAGACACATGTCTCTTACAATTACACTGGCCTCCAATCTAGAAAGATACAAAATATTATAAAATGATGAACATATCTATTTTTAGATGATACACTCATTAGCAACAAGAATGGGAGTATGAGTCGGGGAGGAGAAAACTTTAAATGGAACAGAAAAAAAATAAGCCTGTGCAACATATACTTTAACTTGTTGAGAGAGAGAAAAAAGATAAATATTAAAGCGAGTGTAACTATTGAATTTTTAAATACAGTTTAAAAGTCCTGTTCTTTCACAACAGAAGGGAAAAAAAAATGGGTAAACAACATGGCAATAATTACCATCTGGACACAGAAAACTGCAAAGAATAATAACAAAATTGCATTGTAGAAATGATGACTTCTATTAAAATAAATTACTTTTTTTGTATCACAGTTACTACAAAATGCTATCATTTTCAAAGGTTAAGTTTTGCATTTTTTTGTTCAGACCATATGCTTATTTATTTTAATAAAAATGTTAGTTAAGTAAGAACGAAGCAACACTGAAAGATTTCCTTTTTGATTACTCATCCAAGATAAATTTTCTCTTCCTTTACAGAAGGATGTGACCCAACAGCTCAGTATGTGAAACCCTCTCCCTCTTTTTCTCAGGTTCAGCTGAGATCCAAGTGTTTCACTTCAGTGGCAGGATATAAAGGTCTTCTACTCCCTAAATGGGTAGCATTGCTATTTGGAAGGAGTTGAGTCATCCTTTGTTATGCCCAGGCCATGATCTGGGATCCTGGATCCTGTACAAGATTAAGGGGCTCCTGGAAAGCTATCTCAATTTCAAACCTCTGAAAGCCAGAAAAAAAAAAAAAAAAACCCAAACAATTTCTATATTCATCCACTTTCCAATGTGGTGGGAAAACTGACCAAACAGAAAGGGCAATGACACAAGGATGGGGAAACAAATGGAAGACATTGGTCAATAGTGGTCATAGATGAGAGCAGAGAGTCAAAGCAATGCAGAGATGGCAGGAGATGTGAATTGGCAAAAGGTTTAGGATTCATAATCAAGGAACAAATGTTAACTTTTCCAACTCAGGTGTTCTGGGGAATACAGAGATGGCAGCAAACAATCAAACTCTGTGTTCTAAGTAATTTTCTTTGGGTCAGTGTATGTTTCCCAGTGCAAATGTTTACAAATATGAGAGCGCACAATGATTCAAAACCAGTTATTCATCTACAACATCAACAGCTGTAGTCCAATGTGCTTTGCTTTCAGTTAGCTACCAGAATAAAAAATTCTCTTAACAGTTGTCTTTCATCTTATATCTGAGTCAGGCAAAGCTGAAACAACAGGAGAGTCCTGTGGCATGAGAGATGAAGCTGCTTGGATGTTCCACTTAAGTGTTATTATCACACCCTCCAATCTACAATGAAGATCTAAGCTTTATTAACAAAAGATAAAATAGAGTATTCCAGCATCTAATAGTAAACTCTCAGTGCAGAAAACACTGAATGAAAGTTAGAGAAGCATGTATTCCTACTCCTTCCTCATAAAAGGATTCTGTAGTCCAATAAACCCTCTACAATATGCTTTCATGTTAGAAATCTATTACTGATCTATCAGCCACATTTTTCAGGAAGATATTAAAAAGGTACGAAAGCAATATTTTAGAAACAAAAGGCAAGACAACAGCAAGTACAGAAAGGTAAGAGAGTTAAGAGAGACCACAGTAGCAGAAAACACAGCAACAAGGATTTTCAACTCCTTCCCTTTTAGACTGGATTTGATCTAGGTATTTAGTTTATTATAAGAGACACCGTCATGCATCACAGCCATTCATCAGAGAACTCACATGTGAAAAGCAACTCTGAGTTTAATCCTAAATGAAGAAAAATACCTAGTTTAAAACATAACTGTAAAAGAAACTTTGTGTGTTATTGAACATAGCATACTTAGATTACACAACAGCAAGCATTATATAAAAATACCTCTTTAGCACTCCACAGAACTCATATCCAAAAATACTTTAAAGTTACTCTAAAAGCTACCACATGAAAAAAAGCATTAGATGCTAAAAAAGTCATCTTCAAAAAGTGGAAATCAGATGAAAATAAGGAAATTAAAGAGAGGATAACCACCACCAAATTTTAAAACCAGATTAAGGCAATCCAAAAAAATCAGCTTTTAATGATCAACAAGATTAAGGCATGAAGGAATTTTTTTTTTTTTTTTCCAAACGTCAGAAACAAAGGAAGACTACCAGAGAATCAGCAAGGGCAATAAATAATTCAGTGGTATGATTAGCAGATTCAAATTGGACATCAGAATTTTTTCACCAAGAGGTTAGCACAGCATCGGTAACAGATCTCCCAAAAGGGACGTGGAATCTCTGTCCCCAGAGGTATCAAGACTCATCCAGGCAAAATCATGACTGATTGGATCTAACGCTGACTACAATCCTGCTTTGAGCTGGAGCAGATGACCAACTAATACTTCTATGATTCTGTGTAGCATTCAGGAAAGATAGAACCACAACAGAGATTGCAAAAAAAGTATTTCACAGCTGTTCACTATGAAAGAGGTGTTACCATTCTACATTATGAACAATTTTCAAGACCAGTTTCAAACTGAAATGTCAGAAGGAAAAGATTTCAGCAAAATTTAATCTGTTGAAAAGTGACTACACATGAGTCAAGAGTTCTAGATGAACTGAAATATAAAATTACTTAGTTATTAATTGCTTAAATCAACCTCAGTAAAAGAGGAATAAAATTACAAAAGTTACATCAATCTCTTAAAAAGGCTGTAAGTAAGCTTCTGAGATCTACAGTCTAGTAGCCTTTTCCTGCACAGAGTGAATTGATAGAAATTAAAACATGAGCTTGATATATTGGAAAAGACTGGTACTTTTTTTTGCAAAGAAAAATCATGCTTCATGATTCTACTGCATTTCTTTAAGTCAGCAACATCTGAAAATATCGCATATATTGATCCAAATGGATGATCAAAAAGTCAAATTAATTTCTACATCAAGAAGCACAAACTTAACACCTGGGGAAAACCAATGCTGACTATAGGTAGACACTGATGAGTCCAAAATTAGCTATTACCACTCAAGAAAGGAGCTGTTAAAGCAGCTCCATTCCCCCTAAAAATCATTTGAAAGCTTTGAGGCAGAAAAAAAGGCAATAGGAATACTGGAATTATTAGGAAAAGAACTGAAAGTTATACAGAAAATGTCATTCTGTCATAAAAATCCATTGTGTATCAACATTTCACACAATTTGTATATCTAGTTACCCTCTCTGAAATAAAAGAGGTCACAGAGTGAGTAAAATAAGAAAAAATAAAAATAAAAAAGACTTTTCAGTGTGGAAAGAGATAACTAAGATGAAGGGAATACATGTCTATAAAATCATGAATGGCTTACAGAATTTAATATCCATTATTTCTCACAATATAAGAAGGAGAGAACACCCAGGAAATTATCAGGAAGAAAACTTTAAAAGAATGAAAATGTACTTTTTCTATATACTTCAAGCATATAGAAGAATATACTTTTTTGGAAGTGCCTTAAAAAATGAGTTTGATTAATTCCATACGTAGACACCAAACATGACAACACAGGAAGCTCCTGAGTTCAGCTCAGGCAGTCCCAAAACCATAAATAACTGGAATCAAGAAAAGCAGATCACAGAAGGATCATGCTGCTTAACATCAGCTTCTGATAACTATCAGAGAGGATACTGTGCTAAATGAAAGTCTTATTTCATCCAGTATGGCTGTCCTTATCATAAATACACGGAAACCCAAGTCTAGCTGTGAGCAGATGGTAGCCATTTCCTGATGCAACAAGTGAAAAGTGTAGATTACCAAGTGCCAAGAGAAGCAATGAGCACCAGTATCTTCAACATAATTTTAAGTGTCAAACTATTACAAGGAGCAGTAATTTCCATTCCATTCAGTTGCAGAAAATGTATGTCCCCAAACTTTCTCTTAATGGGGTAAAAAATGATGCCAGAAGAATAAATGTAACTCTTCAGAATGAGGGAGAAATAACTGGCCAGCCGAAGAATATAATTCATGTTTTCTCCAAGAATGAGCCAATGAAACCATTTGGAGATCTCCCTATATAAATTTCCTCCTATCTCGCTGTCATGTAGAAAAGAGTTTTCCATCTGTAATCAATAAAAGTGGCAACTGGTTTCCTGGCTCTAAAAAAGAGTGAAAGTCTTTCATGGCAGTTAGAGGAAGGTATAGGACACTACAATATTTGTAAGAGAGGAAGGCTTATCACATTGCTTCTTAATAGATCTGAACACGGGTTTCTATGTACCAGATTAGAGGATATGTAAATAATCCGCTGACACTCTTCCACAACAGATTTCAGAGTCTTGGGGAAAAAAGTCAAGCGGAAAAAAGACATTCTATAGACAAGACAAAAAGGAGCCTCTGATTGTATTCACAAATTACTATTTTGGTTTTGTCTTAGCTGTGTCTGGAAAACTTCCCGTTCTGCTGCTTCTGTCAACATCGGATATCAAGATGAAAGATATCTATTGAAGTTTAGCCTCTGAAATACAGAATAACAAATTCAGTTATATAACTCCACTTTAACTCTGCCTTCTATAGTAAGCATGGCATTATGAGAGACATGAATATCAGCTAATGGAAACATGCCAATGTAATGCACCTCACATTACAGGTTTCATCCTTTGTATGCTGCATACACTTCAAGTAGCTGTGCAGAATTTTAGAGAAAAAGTTGAGAAATATGCTTTAGACAAAAATAGTACATGGAGGGGAAAAAAAGTAGTTTAAAGTACTTGCAAAACTGGGAAGATCTGTAGGGTTCTGTAATTGCCTGCCCTGGATGCTAAGCTCTTCACTATTTTCAGTAGCAGGCTCTGAAGACAGAGGAGAGAACGTGCTTACAAGCCCCCACAGAACAGCCCAGCTGAGGATGCACAGCCAGCACCATCACTGCCCCGAGGGCACTAACCAGCCTTAATGGCCCTGAGCAGCCTCACCTGAGGCTTCCACTCACTCTCTCTGCCCACAGCCCAG